GATCTTTCACAGTGAATAGACACATGACTGAATAATGATGAAATAATCCTCTGACTGAAGAGACGACGTGTTTTGTGGACTGTTAATGCAGGTTAACATTTTTCTGTGCTGATAAAAGCTAAAACCTACTCAACATCCAACACTGCTTTAAATTTGTTTTCCAGAAAATTATTATATTGGCCTCATACCCAAGCACAACCATTGTTGTTATATATTTGGAAGTTAAAAGCATTTGGTTTATCTACATGGTTTTTGTCTAGTGGTCGCCAAATAAATGGCTGGATACACTTTCAGTGGGATGAAAACTTGATCAGTGACTTCCAAGGTTTCAGCTAAATTCCCTCACTTGCATACTTTTATTGCTGTGATGAGGTGAACTCTGGAGTTATCCTGGGAATAAATTTGGAAAAAAAAAAAAAAGATGTTCAATTGACTTCTTGTTGCTGTGAGTATCTTGGTTTGCACATTTTTTCGTGTGTGACTTCAGAATTTCCGCTCTGATGCGTCTGCTCAGCCATTCACACTGCACTAAACACGGCCCGAGGCACTTCTTCTTCCTCGGCGTCTTCTTCTCTTTCTTTATTCATCTGCGTCTCATCCAGTCTGTCGACTCCAACGTTTCACTCTTCCATCCCTGTCGTCCTGCTTTTGATTTCCGTTTGAAGAGAATTAACATTTTACTAACTTTGACTGAGCGCCTGATGGAATTGGTCAACCTTTTCTTCCATTGTCTTTGTCTTTCCCTCTGCCTTTTCTGCCTGTCCTTCATTTCTTGTGTCACAAAATCAATCTGGAGTTTAGCGAGGATAAAGCCAGTCTTCTCACATCACAGCGGCAGGCTGAATTATTCAGTACACACACAGGGATTGTTCGATAAAACAACGGAGCTCTTCCAAACGCTTTCTTTTTTCTTTTATCCATAATGATTTTTTAAAAAGTAGATTAATATCATCCTAGCTTAGCTGAGTGACCTTTTCTGAACTTTGGTGACCGTCGCTCCGTCACATCTTCCTCCATCTGCCACTTGTGAACCACGAAAAGCTTTACAACAGCAGTAAAGGCACGTGGCTCTGAGCCGTAAAGTAATTAAAGGTGCTGCGACGCCACCTTAAGGATGCTTCCCCATGGTCATCATGATCCAAAATAACCCTCCCTCCAATCAGGCGGCTGATATTTGTCACATTATCACATCATCACAAAAGCTCCACATGAAGATAACGGTTTAATTACAGCCTGCTCTCGTCTTTGTGAGTGTGTGTGTGTGTGTGTGTGTGTGTGTGTGTGCACGTGTGTCACTTGGTGCTGCTGCTAACTGATATGTCAGAAAATCAATTAATTACTTTTAAGCGGCAGTTAAATGCATCCGCACAATACACCCCATGAATTATAGACGAGGTGTGTGTGTGTGTGAGTGTGTGTGTGTGCGTGACACAGAGATAGAATTGGCTGCTCTGTTAACTAGAGACAATTGGTAACTCCTCCGTCACTGATCAATTGATGTGAGCACTTCGATACAAATCTACTGAGCCAACAAACTGACTCATCTACTTTACAGCGTTCTCTATTGTGTGTGTGTGCGTGGGTGTTTGTGTGTGTGCACATGGGCCGCCACGTCAGCCCCACTCCATTTATGTAGTTAATTTTGGAACCTTTCAGTCACCTCTGATGCCCTAATATCATCAATACAACCACTAAAAAACATCCAGAAGTTAGCCTTAAATCAGGCTTCAGTCTCCACACGTGTTCTAAAACTACACAAAGTACAACTCCTACACTCCTACAGTGTAGGACATACATTTGGATTTTAGACCAGAACCCTCTCCTCAGTTCAGTTGAGTTTTTCACCTGTTCTTTATCAATAGGAACAAGTTGAAACCAGAAAACTAACCCCAGAAAAACACAAACTGAAACCATGTTCTTAGCAGGGAGGTAAAAGTCGTTTCTCTCATTAACCTCTCCCAATTAACCACATCCTTGAAACCAGGCCCCCTCCATCTAACCTTTCAATTGAAAATGACTTTACCAGAACAGGATTTAAAACTAAAATTATTTTCTCAAACCCTCAGCCTTTGATGGGAGAAAGGCTTCTGACTTAGTTCAAGGAAAAACATTTGCAAGTTACAGAATGAAATCGATCAATAGATATATAATGAGATTTATAAAAGAAAAGACTTTTCAGTTCAATTTTTAGCAAAATGTAAGAAGAATATATGAGGAGACTCTGTACTGGTTAAGGACTGCATTTTATCCAGTGGTGTTACTAATTTTAATTGAATGGAACCATAAGTGATATGCATGGACGTTGCCACTGCTCACGCTGTATATAATATCATTAGATAACAATGACATCATAATTAAAAGGAACGCATAGAAACCCTGAAAAATCAAGAAAAAGGAATTGGACCAACTGAGAAATAAAATAGGAGGATGTCTCCTTTTCCTCAGACTGGGTCTCCTCTTCTCTGTATTGATTGCTTCCTTATGCATGGAGCGTGTGTGTGTGGCATTGATTCGTGCCATGCCACGGTCATTGCCCTCAGGGTGGCCTGAACTCGGTGGACGCCACGGACAAACCGCCGATGGCACAGAGACAGAGACAGAAAGAGGGAGAGGAGGGGAGACGAGAGAGAAGTGAGAGAGTGGATAAACGGGGCTGTAAATACAATGTTAAAAGAAGTGATAGGAATAGAAAAAAGTCCGTTTGCAAAGATTTTTTAAGATGAAATCTTCATGTTCAGTAAAGATGATGAATGTCTCATCATTCTGAACATAAATGTAGGAAGAAATGATGGTAAAGTCTGTGAAACGTTCACCTGCTGCTCTTCATAGAATTGGCAGCAGGAAGCTTGGCATTAAGGAGGAGGGAGAAGCTCCTGGCTGTGTTGACAGTGAAGAGAGTGATTGAAGCCTGGCTGAATCCTCTCCTCCATCTTCACCTCCTCTTCCTCCTGACCTTGGCTGGTAGTACTGTAGTAATAGTATTAGGAGTGGTATTTCCCTCTTCTTCCCTACTCATTTCTTTGGCCTGGACTTTTATCTCCAGTAGTTTTTCCCTGCTGCACCCCGACATAGAACGTAAACCACGAGTCATCTTCGGCTCCTCAGCTGCATCTTGGGTCACGTACCTGATGAGAAAAGCCAGCTCCACAGCTAATTGTTCTGAAAACATCACTGTCATTATTTCTGCCTTGTTCATGCAACTGTTTTCACTAGTGTTGAGAAAAAGTGACACTTTTTTACCAACCTGGCATTAACCTGACTTAATTTTTGACATTTTTTTACAAACGTGTTCGGGTTAATTTGTTTGTTTTTTTTCATGTTGGAGGGGTTGAAATAAACTGGCAGTTTGACATCTTTGTGGTTCACCTAACAGACTGGTCAGACTAGTGCGAGGTAGAGTTTTGGCTCCAGTCTTTTCCAGGAAGTAGATCTGGGAATTCATTGAGTCACTGCATATTTTTCTGATTTTGGTTTTTTTTTTTTTTTTTTTTTGGCCAGTATTTGACTGTAAGGTATTTATATTGAATAAACACATTTTATGTTTTTATGCCAAATTGTTTTCAGTATCAGTTACAGTATTTAAAAGCACACAGTGTCACATGTTGGGCGGGAGATGGGAGTTTGTGTGCAGTATGTTTTCACAATTCATTTTTAACTTTTCAGTTTTGTTTTAATAATAATAATAATAAAAATAATAAACCAGAGGACCGTATTAAATTAAATAGACCAAATACACTCTCTCTTCTTATCTTTTGTCATTTATTATTATTATCATCATTATTAATATAATAATATCTGTTTAAACCAGCTGCTCATGATGTGGCTTTTTTCCACAGAAACCAGGGTATTATCAATAACTTTGATATTTGATTGGGGACTGCGTATTGATTATGGATCAGAGGACACTGAGCTGCTCGTGTTACCAGCGGCTCGGTGGGAAATGCTCGCTTGGTGAAATCCAACTCCGCTCCACTCTGTTCTTTCCTTTTCTCTGCATTCTCTCGCTGCTTTTCTCCCATCGCTGCAGTCATCCCCCTTCTCTCCCTTCCTCTTCCTCATGTTTTAAAAATAACACATTATTCCACAGTTTACTGAAGTAATTAATAGATATTTGAGATAGATAGATAGATAGAGCTCCAATCGTGTGCATCTTTGTCCAGTATGGGAGCATGAAATATTTACAATTCTTTTTTTTTTAATTGGCTACACCGTCTGCACACAGCAGCAGACTGACATCTCATATAAATCTCCTCTGACAGAAGGCACTCATAGGCAATATTTCTGAACTGTGGGTTTGCTGCTGGACAAACTCTTCTGAGCCATTTCAAAATAGATATTTCAGATTTTAGAAAATACCACAGAAATGTGAAAAAATGAATGACAAAAAATACACAATACGTGAAATATCTTAAATGAACAACTTTACTTGAAAAACAATTTTGATCAAATGATTTGTCCCTAATGATGAATGCTACTATATTTAATTTAGAAAACACTTGATCCATGTTGCTGGCGGTGACGCTGGTGTTTCTTCAGTTTGGGGACATAAATAACCTACTGCCCCCTATTGTCTATTTATGGTAATGGCATCCAGCTCTTGTTGCAGGGGGGGTTCAGTTACAGTCAATGTGTGAGCTGATTAATGACAGCAAAATGGAAATCAGAGAGTTTGGAGTAAGAGGGTATTAAATTAGTTTGTGTTGTTTATAGACGATGATTAGATAGATGATGCAAATGGAATACAGTCGCCAGAATAAGAAGGAAGAGGAAAAAACACTGGGGAATGTTTGGGAAAAAAGTTTTACCAGCGAAAAACCGTTTCCTGTTGAATTAAAATATTATATCATCACTTTTATTGGTGAGTGAATAGTGCGCAAGAGGAAGTGCAGTTTTGCTCTCTTCCCCAATTTTGTCTCATCTTGACCCCGCCCTCCCTCGGACGGACGCAAGTCTGATTGGTCGTTGCACTTCCTGCCACATGCGGCGGCATGACTCGCTATTGGCTGAGAGCTGTGGACGGAGCGCTGCGCGGATGAGATGCAAATCCAGAGTTGTGGCAGTAAAAGGCTGGGCTGCTCGTGGGCATGTCCACTCATGAAGACGTGAGGGTAGAGAGAGATAGGCTTAGGACACAGTGAGCGAGTCTGAGTCACTGAGTTAGAAAGAGAAGAGTTCGGGATTCCTTAAAAAGTTCTTTTTCTTTTTTCATCTTTGACTACGTTTTCATTATTGTCCCTCAACGCGTGGAGCCTGAACTTGAAGCACAAGGAAATCTGAAGACAATTTCCAAAAGGACATCTTCAAGTGACTTAAGCCGCACAGAGGTGGAGGTGGAGAGGAGAAGCTAAACACTGTCAGAACCCCTGTCTCGGACACTGTGTCGTGACGCGCCTTTGCGCTCAAGAACCGGAGACCGTCGCGCGTCTGAAGAACGCACCGCACGCAGGGGACATAGATGAAATCTGAAGTGTAGAACCTGGTCACAGTGGAAGACAGGCGTCTGGAGATCTAGTCTAAAGCGAGAGGAGTGAAAAAAAGGAAAAGCGGCTTCGAAGTGAAACTCGTGTGTCTGAGGACGCACCGAGGCGCACAAATGGTGTTTCTGTGGGACGCAAAATACGGTACGGGTCCGTGGTGCTGCAACTTTGCCATTTTTACCATGTTTTGATTCTGGTTGATTTTTACAGGGACACATTTTCACAAACCTTGGTGATTAATCGATTGTGTCTTTGGTTTTTTAATAACGCGTGGATTTCAGAGCGGATTTGACATACACTAGTCTCTAGGCGTCGCGTGCGTCAGAGTCATCTTCATCTCCAGACCCTGATGGTTTAGTAGATCTTTTGATCTGCACAAAGAAAGAAAGAAAGAAAGAAAGAAAGAAAGAATATAAAAATATAAAACTTACTTTTTAAATATTTTCCTTCTTAATTCCCAATCATACTTTACCATCATTTTTAAATTGATTAAACTCAAATTAAATTGACTACATTTTTCCCCATTTATAAAAATATTTTTAGGTTGTTCCTGTCATTTTAAATAACTAACAACTAACACTTGATTTATTTATTTATCTAGTCAACTTTCAGAACTAGAGGAGCCATAGATGTGTTATATAAAAACTGTATTTTTGTCATTTCTATAGAACCTACACTGTGCTACCAGACAAATATGAGTCCAAACTGAGCGTCTCCTGGTCTGAAACTAAACCTACGGCAGAATTATTTTTAAGAATAAAAATAAGAAAATAAACATTTTTAGGAAAACGATAGTAATCTCAGTTCCACTCAGAGCGAAAAGCTGCTCTTCATGATTATCATAATAGATTTTGTGATGTCAACAATATTGGGAAAATTTAGAGGAAAAAAGAATCTGTGCACTGGCCTCAGAGTAAGACTGACACTGAACAATGGTTTGTTAGATCACAAAAAACAAAACAAATATAAGTCCACTCTTTGTTGGTGGTGTAAATATTCTAAAATAAAAAACTGGTGTTTTTGGGGGGAGTTATTATTAGATTTGATTTTATGAGTCTGAGTCTGGGCAAGAATATGGTAATCCACTGTCCTCACACACTTGATTTCCAAGGCGAAACATTTGAAATACCTCCAGAATTAAAGTATCTAAGGACACAAAAATTTGAAAGAGATTTGGTGTTTGGACGAAGATGAGACGATGTCTTTTTGGTAATCATTATAACTTCAGTTAGAAAATTCAGTGGAAAACTTTGTTAAATGAAAATATTGAATGCAAGTGTGTGTAGGTGTGTGTGTGTGTGTGTGTTGGCTCTGCTGTCAAAAACCACTTCCAACTGTAAACTAAACTGCAAACCACCAGCGTGTGGCTTCAACCGCGGCTTTTGGCTGAGTGACAAAGCTGTGGAGCCATCGATATGACAGACAGCTCACATCTGTCTGTCCAACAACAGGATTTTTGTTGACATTTTTACTCCCTAATTTCACATTTGCTGTTTTTTTTATATTTGTTATTAATTTTCACCTGCTGCTTTTCTATTTTTCACCTTATTCGAAGATTACATTAATTCACAGCTTTTTTTATAAAATTACTGAATTGTCCTTAGATCCATGAACATCCTCAGTTTTCTGTTGAAAGTTGTTTCCACTGTTGCTGCTCACTTTTAGAGTCATGACTACACACTTTGGTATTCAAGTCAGTGTGTATCATCGTGTGCTATGTGAGTGTGAGTCTGTGTGGGTTGATTTGCATGTTACAGTTCTTTTGTTTGTTCGTGTTCTTATAACAGAGTTAAGCTTCAAATGACAGATAATGGCATTTACCTCTTTACTCCACTGTTCTCTGAGGTGTTTGTTTTTTTTAATATATATATATATAAATAAAAATGTAACTTGTTGTGCATCTGTTCTCTTTCAGACCCTGCCCCTGGCCGGCGTTACACGCCCCCCTCCACCACGCTCGGCTCTGGAGGGAAGATGGCTGAGGCTTTGCCCCTGGGGGCCCAAGAGGCTGCAGGTGGTGCTGCCCTGGTGGGCAAATTGCGCATTGCAGAACGAGGCATGGTGGAGGTACGTATGAGGCACTTTAGAATGACTCACGAAATAAAGCCCTTTTGAAAAACTCCTGTGATGACCCCCTCTGACCCCTCCGACCCCCAGCTGTATCTGAAGAGTCTCTCTGTGACTTTGTGCAGGTGATCTCGGATCATCCTGGAGAGCTGGTGAAGACCGACAGCCCCAACTTCCTCTGCTCCGTGCTGCCGACACACTGGCGATGTAACAAGACTCTACCCATCGCTTTTAAGGTAAGTTTGTCAAATAAAGCTACCTGAGAACGTTGACCTAATCGTCATTGGATACATAAACACTGGCACAAAAAAATCATTGAAATCATGGCACACACCAAAAGTAAACTCATGGATGCTGCCGTTATCAAAGCTAAAATGGTCACATTTCTGTCTGAATTCCTTCAGATTTACTACATGTATCAGCGTGTAGAAATATTACAATAAAAAAAGAATGACGGTATTAATAACTGTGACTATTATTATTATTATTATTATTATTATTATTATTATTATTATTATTATAAAACAATCAGCAGCAACCAGCTGTGACATACGTATAGCTCTGTTGGTGTGTCTTGTTGTGTGTGTGTGTGTTGATGTCTCTTCTGCACTTTGACACAAAATGCATTTGTGGAAAAGCAGCTTTTAGCCACAGAACACACCAGAGATTGATTGACTTATTGAGTTTTATGCATTACTGTTTGGACATTCATGCCTGAGTGTGCGTGCGTGTATGTGCGTGTGTGTGCGTGTGTGTGTGAGAGTAAGATGCTGCATTATGCATCATTATGGAGTGTCATGAACGGATGTCACTGCCTCTTGCTGATAATGGATGACTGTTACACTGCGCACTTGAAGACACAAACACACACAAAAACACAAATGTGCACAGTAACAGTACACTGCATGCATTGGCACAAATACGACAACACGTAAAAACACACGCGGTAACACAGCCGGTATTTCCTGAGATATGTATTTTTCTTTCACTGGTGTATGTTGGAGGTATGACGCTGTAGTCACTGTGTCCTGCCGGCATCACTGCAGTGGAGCTGAGACAGACATGAGATTGTCTGGATATATCTGGATGAGCAGGTTATTTAGTTGACATATATGGAGCAACAAGTACATGTGTTGTCTGTAATCCAACGTCCATGTGCGGCTGTGTCTGCAGACAGAGCCAGGAGTGGAGTGTGACGTTAGCATTAATGAAGTATATTTTATGTTTCGCATTGGATAACACTGTAGACCACATGTATGAAGCATATGCGTATTTTAAATTTACGAAATTGTAAAATGCAATCTTCACACTTCAGGCATTCCATATTCACGATCTGCTTTTATTGCATGAACCCCATGTTAACTGCGTAGTGAGAATGTGTTCTGAGGAGAAACCTGCCTCAGACAGTGGATGTACTCTGGGCTTGACATAGAGCAGGAAGATAAATGGGCCAGAAGTGTCCGAATTAAATAAAAAGGTGAACGTGACCATGTGGTTAAATTTCCTACATCCCATTTATTTAATGGTGCTGCAGGTCGGATGAATTTTAGGAAGGTACATCAACATTTTTGGAAGTCGGGCTTGTATCATATATTCAATATGTATGTACATTTAATCTAATGTCACTGGATGCAACTTTATATAAAGAAAGACCCAAAGGTTACGTGTTAATTAAAAAATTCAGCATTGTTTCTATAGTAGAATTGTGTTTGTTTTTTGTGGACTATAAGCTCCAGTTTCTTACTTCTGCAGTTGCCCGTAGTGTGCGTGTCTGTCTGAAGGCACACTGTGTTTGTGATATGAAAATAGACTTGCCTTATTCTCCTGATTTGCGTAGAAGCTGGCCATGCTTCCCTTGAATATGACCTGCATGACATATTTTTATTTTTATATCTGCTGTAGTTAATCTTTTTCTTTTAAGCGTCAGTTTTTGATGTGGTTCTCCTAAACACTGGCCCTCAGTCAGGTCCTGTGACACCGTGCACGGTCCCTACACCTGACTCTCACTGAAAACAGTTCAGCCGGAGATTCAAGCCACTTGTCAAAAACGATTCCTGATGAAAATCTCCTTCTGCCTTCTCTCCTTTTCTGCACCATAAGGTGGTGGCTCTGGGCGAAATCCCTGACGGCACCTTGGTAACAGTTATGGCGGGAAATGATGAGAATTATTCGGCAGAGCTGCGGAACGCCACAGCCGCCATCAAGAGCCAAGTGGCCAGATTCAACGACCTGCGCTTTGTCGGCCGCAGTGGAAGAGGTGAACACTCGTTTTAATATAAAATTGTCTACTGGACAAACCCACCACCAGAAATAATAACGGGCAAAAAATTCAAAAGTCAGTCTGTTTACCATTCTCTGGTCCACACTGTCTAATTCTCTGATTCTATGGGATGAGCCTGACCTTTTTAAACAGCAATGAGGTATGAACTGCAGGAAGGCCAGTCAGACTCCACGTCTGCTTTGCCATTTTTGTAATTTGTGCAGTAAAAAAAGGTCCATGGATCCAATACAATTAATGGTAACTCTGAATATACAGATCCACACCTGCCATCACAGACACTTGTTTTTTTTTTTTTCTCATTTCTTTTCTTTTTTAAGCTTTGCCATATAAATCATAACATCTATTTAATCCAACAAGATTGTGGTTAAAAAAACACAAAATTCTTCTTCTGTCATTTTGCCTTTTATATTACGCTTTAGGTTCAAAGCCAAACCTTTTGAACCACATTTCTGAGGTGGCCAAACTTCTGGATTTAACATTTGTACAAATCCTGCTTAACATTGGATCAAATTTGACAACTGTGTTATACACGATAGAGCGTAGATGAATTAGGGGAAGTACATGTGAATAATAACAGTATCCCAGTGTTCACGGACACAGTACACCACAGTTACTCTCAGTCAGTTGCAGGCAAATGTCCAAACTTATCTATTTAAAACACCAGTCCTGTGTACACAAACTGTACACACACTCACGAATGCACACAGACACACACATGCGCACACACACACACACACACACACAGTATATGTGTGCTGTGTATTCACAAACAACACATGCTCCCAGGGCTGAATGTCACGCAGGACTAGCTGTCAATATGTTTAATTTTGTTTTTTAAACACCCTGCCTTACTTGAAAATTAGACTAGAATATGAATAATGGGTGTACAGTGAAATTCAAATAAGTTGTGGGAATATGTTACCATGCAAATGTTCTAGCTCAGAGAACAATGGGCGTCCACGCATCTCCCGTAATCGTATTTTAAGATGAGAAAAAAGGGTTCCAAGACTTGTTTTACTGCAGTGCACATTGTACATACATATACACACACACACACACGCACACACACACATATATATATATATATGTGTGTATATATATATATATGTGTGTATATATGTGTGTGTGTGTGTATATATATATATCTATATATATATATATACACACACATATACATACATACATATATTTGGGTACCACTGCTCTATCACATTATTATTATAGGATGCAATACATGTAGAACGGATAAACTGCTGGTTCTGCTGTAACTTATCATAGTGGTAAAGCCATGAGCCACATCAGCTCACATGTGTGGCAGAGATTTTCAAAATTTTGACTGTCATTAAACCCTCATGTGGGAAGTGGTTAGTCCTGCTTTCCTGAAGGCAGTGAGTGGTTTCGTGGTTTGACTGGTGGTTTTTCTGTGTGTGTGTGTGTCTGCGTGCGACCGGGAGGAGTCAAAGTCCTGTGACGGTTTTCAATCCCACGACTGATTCAATGTCCCTATTTCACACACAAATATTGTGTTTTAGCAGCCACTGTTAATCCAAACAGTGTACAGCAGGGGAGAAGTCAGAGGAACTCCTGGCGTCACTGGCATATTGTGGGTCTGCAGCCAACTGTCTCCATGTGGTTCAGCCTGCAGTGGTGGTCTGCAATTGTATGCGTGTATACGTGTACAGCAAGTGTAGTGTTGAATGAGTAGTACTTCCAGTGCTACGGACAGGCCACTCACCATCTTATACACACAAACTTTCATCCAGAATACAGCCAACTGTTGGGTTGCTCAGCCTGATCTGTTTCACAGAAATGTGTTGTAAATGAAAAAAGTCATTATCTATTATCTCAAAAACGACTAAATTCCCCGAATGACACTTGCAGCTGTCATTTCCTGCAACACAGCAGTGTCAGAGTTAGTGCGCAGGAGACCATTTGTGAGCATGACGTTAACAAGATGAAATATAAGTGTCATTTCTTCCAAGCAACAGGGTGACCATATAAAGTCACCCTGTTGTCACCCGTTTTTTTAATCTATTCTTTTTTTAAGAATAATTGTGAATTATTTTGAGAAATAAATCAGATTACATTTTCTAACCCACTGGAGAGTAAACCTACACTGTATGTCCAATAATCCCAATGCTAATCTATTTTTTGTTTTTGTTTTTTTTTCACTGTCAATACTCACTTTGTCATTTACACATACTGTAGAGAAAAAAGTTTTTTTTTCATTGAAGCACCTCAGGTTAAATAAAAAAAACATCGCTCAATAAAAATAGGTGTGAAACACTTACATCTGCCTGCTGTTCCGACAATAGAAGGGGAAAACAGTTGTATGAAGGAATGTAGATTAATATCAATAAATCATTCCCCTGCTTTACCACATTTGTTTTTTTTCCTTGCCTCTTAGGAAAGAGCTTCACTCTGACTATCACAGTGTTCACCAACCCCCCTCAAGTGGCCACCTACCAGAGAGCGATTAAAATTACAGTGGATGGTCCCAGAGAGCCCCGACGTAAGTTATTCTGCAGACTGCAGACAGTTTGAATTTTACTTCTTTATAATCCATTTTATGACAATGGAGTCCCACAGGGATCAAACGTAGGTCCCTTCTTGCTGTTCCAAGCATGGACCTCTCATCAACCTCTGTCTAACACCGTAGTCTTGAAAGCTACACCTTATTGGTACATTCTGAAAAAAAATATTTCTAACTCTGTGTCTCAGTTAACAACTTTAATTAAAATGATATTTAAAGTAATGTATGTGTTAAGCAGTTGAAGAGGCTAAGTCAAATCTGAATGACTCACTCAGGAACTTGATTGAGTAAGCAACTCTGAGTTCCTTTCGCAAAAACAGTATGATGAAACACATGGAGGCTGAGAGCACAGATTTTTTTTTCCCAAAGAAATGTATATGTTTCAAATAAATATAATATTATATTATAAATAATATAAATTGCACTGAAGTCAGCAGAACAAGAAGAGACACCAGGTGACGGTAAGAAAGGACGACTCTCTCGCCAGTTCAGCTCAGCTGTTAATAACTGTCACTCGTCTCAGGAGTCGCCCACACATACACACTCACATGCATACACACACACACACACATTCATGCAAACTTCCCCCATTGGGAGGAAGTGCCTGTAACTGGAGCTGAGTCTCGCAGCTTTGATGTGCAGCCAACATCACAGACAGAGTGACAGACCACCGCACACACTCACACTGCGTTGCCTGTGTGGCGCCCATCACCAAATTCACACAGACTCTGGCTGCTGTTTGTCTGAACATTATTCATAGTCACTGTTTTGCTTTGTGACTCTTGCATTGATCCTTGGATTATGTAATCAGATTACAGGCATGAAGTAATCTGCCAACAAAACGTCTCTGCGTGGCAAACCGTGTCTGTACTGAGTTTTTTGTTTTGGGAAAACCCTGATCAAAGGCATGATTGAGAGAACGTGCCAATGTGACTGCAGGTCATCGTCAAAAAATGGAGGAGGTCAAACCAGGCTCCCTGGCGTTCTCCGAGAGGCTAACAGAGCTGGAACAGCTGAGGCGGACTTCTATGAGACTGACGCCGCCTCACCATCATCACCATCAGCCCTCAGCCAGTGCTCGCCAAGCTGCGGCTCTCAACTCGGCCCCTTTCTCAAGTCCCACACACACTCAGATAACGGCTGGTAAGAGCCCTGAATTATGCCATTTGTTGTAAGAGAAAACACAAAACACATCGTAGGTAGAGATCCATCCAGAGACATATAGGTTCTATCCATCCATCTATCTATCTATCTATCTATCTATCTATCTATCTATCTATCTATCTATCTATCTATCTATCTATTTATCTATTTATCTAAGTTCAGATTCTTAAAAAAAATCCATTTTAACTTGGTTTTCAGCCAATTCTAAGCTTTTGAAATATATATATAGATATATATATATAGAGGTTGCCATTGGGGCTATACTACTTATATTTGACGCTTACTTTATGTTGGTTTTTTTCGAGGGCTAATATTTGACATTCCACTATTGGCTTAACTAGTTTAGTTTAGCCAACAAAATGTAAATTAATACACATTTATTGTTTTGAGCAACCCTGGGACTAACACAGTGATACAACTTTTTAATAACTGAGGTCATAGGCAATAATCCAAAACAAACTACCGTGGGCAAAAGACATCTGGTCTACAATGAAAACCCAGTTGGACGTAATAGTCCAGCTACAGATTCACTAAAATTTTACATCAGTCAACTGTATACCTTACCAGGGCACATTGTTACAATGTGTCCCATTTGTTTCCACAAGAAACATTTGGAGGCTGTTTCTTTTTTTTTAATGCCATAAATGTTCTCTTGGTAACCATGTTTACTGATCCTGTGCGAGGACCTTTAAACCCTAGTACATTATTTATTATTTAAGTTTTTTTTAATATTCACAGAGGTAATTCAATTACGTCGTAATTAGTGACATTAGCTCTTCAGCTACAGCAGTAATTGTAATTATTAAGAAACTCAGACATCTCTACCTTTAATGCCACATTATGTGAGGCTACCGGCCCTTCTTAGTTTCTGTTTCTCTTCTCTTTTTCTGAAAACCACGTCCATTCATCTTATGATTGTAATGTGTGGTGACATCAGACCACACTCCTGTTAGTGCTTCACCGGTGGTCTCGGTTATACACCATACCACCAAGCAGAGCTGTGCCTTTCTTCCCAAACTCCCAAACTGGTGCAGTCATCTTCTTCCTCTCTGTGGTTTTACTGAAATCTGTTGTGGTCTTTGCTGTGTCTTTGTGTGTGTGTGTTTGTTTGAACGAGAGTGTATTACTGTGGCACCACAGGATAGTATCTGTTCCTCTTTGGCCTCAGTGACGCTGTGACTTACGCATGGTGTTGTTGTGTTGCAGGGGAAAGAATTGAGTTTTCCTACACTGAACATGTGTGTGTGTCATTTAAGGAAGCAAAATTAGCTTCAGCTTTAAGGGGGAAATGAGAGTCAGCTGGCAGGAAGTGCTCCTGTGAACAAAAATGTGTATGACCAAATATATGTGTGTTTTGGTTTTACGGCGAGTACCTGTTTTGCTTGATAGCTCAGGGCTACATGTGCGTTCGTCGATTTTGACCCAAACACATGTTAATGCTATTGGTTTTTATATTACCACCAGACTGAAAACACTACTGTATGGACTGTTTGCTACTATTTCCAAATCAGCTAGTCATCCACTGCATGACTTCTGGCCCATATTAGTGCTCTCTGCCTGGGGAGAGGAGCCAGGATAGGAGGGGGCTTGGCACAGGGCCTGGCCTACCCCACCCACGAGCTGCATACACCACACACAGACACACACACATGCACGCACACTCGTGAGTGCTTGAGAGAGCTTTTGGCCAGACTTAAAAAGTCTTCGCTGGCGTCTTGGCTGCTGTGTACAATTTGCTTCCTCGTCTATCTTCACATACACATACATGCAAACACACACACATGCACGCACACTCGTCAGTGCTTGAGAGAGCTTTTGACAAGACTTAAAAAGTCTTCGTTGGCGTCTTGGCTGCTGTGTACAATTTGCTTCCTCGTCTATCTTCACATACACATACATGCAAACACACACACATGCACGCACACTCGTCAGTGCTTGAGAGAGCTTTTGGCAAGACTTAAAAAGTCTTCGTTGGCGTCTTGGCTGCTGTGTACAATTTGCTTCCTCGTCTATCTTCACATACACATACATGCAAACACACACACATGCATATACTCTTTTGTCTGAAGTCTGTGGATGATCAGTGCCATTTATTAGACTGTGGGGAAAAGCCTGGATTGAATGAAAGAACACACACACACACGCGAACACACAACTGAGTTCAGCCCCTTCATCTATCCACACCCCCACAAAAAGTTAATTACTTCCTCTCCTCCATCTCTTTCTTCTGTTTCGTTTACCCTCCTCATCTTGAGCCTTTATTCCTCCATATTACGTTTGAACTGATTAAAGCTGAGACATTAACCTTTGTATAATTCCCTTCATTTAGACTTGACTTCTTGCTGTCGTTTGAAATTCAGAGCTGCCACCATGGGGTCTTTTGAGCTTTATGATCAAAATCATGTTTCAATTTAAGCAAATTTATTGTTCCATAAAAACCTAAAAAAATCAGTACCTCCCAACAAAAAAACAAAACAAAAACTTTAGAGTGTTTTCACTTAAAACATGAAAAAACCACAAAACATTTTTGCCAACTAACAATCCTATCCATGTCTTTAGGAGGGATAGAAAATATTGGGAAAAAAAAGAAAACTAAATTTTTGTTTGAAGTAATTTCAAACCTTAACTTTTTTGCCATTTGTACTTGCAGAAGACATTCACATTTCAGCAATTAAAGCTAATTAAACACTGAATCAAGTTCCTGGAGCCTTGATGTGAATTGTATGACCCAGTAAACTAAAACTCATGTACAAATATTTCATGAGTAATTTGTTCTGATGAAAACTACTGCTGTGCTTTGAAAAGATCAATATTTAAGCTGCATTTCTCTCTCTTTCTCTAACTTAGATACAAGACAGATGCAGTCGTCTCCTTCCTGGTCTTATGACCAGTCGTATCCATACCTGGGCCAAATAACCACACCCTCTGTTCACTCCGCCAACCCTCTATCGCCAGGCCGGTCCTCACTCAGTGATCTCTCTTCACGGCTCACAGGTAACATACACAAAAAAATGACTTCCCTAGGGGGTGAATAACGAGGAGTCCAGCAGGGCTCACATGTCGTTCCTATCTTATTGATAGGATATCTTATATCACACATGAAATAAATTGAGTCGATAAACTTGATTATAATCCCTTGAACCCAATGCTCTCTCAGGTCCTGACCTCACAGCCTTCAGTGATCCCAGGATGACCTTGGAAAGATCTTTCACCTCTCTCCCCTCATTGTCTGACTCCCGCTTCCCCGATCCTCGTGTTCATTACTCTCCAACGGCGGCTGCCTTCACCTACGCTCCCTCCCACAACGCCGTTTCTAATGGTGCCCTTGGCTTAACTATGGCTACAGCCATGGCCAGCTCCCCAGCAGGGCGGTACCACACCTACCTACCTCCCCCATACCCTGCCAACACCCCCCACCAGGCTCAGAATGGGCCTTTCCAGTCCACTTCTTCACCGTACCACCTTTACTACTCCACTGCAGCAGGATCCTACCAGTTCTCCATGATGGCTGGAGGAGGAGCAGGAGGCAGCGGTAGTGACTCGCGCTCCCCACCAAGAATCCTGCCACCATGCACCAATGCTTCGACTGGCTCCTCACTCTTGCACCCTTCCTTACCGAGTCAGAATGAAGGAGTTGGGGTTGAGGTGGAGTCCAGTCACAGTAGCTCCCCTACAAACATGGCAGCTGCTGAGGCTGTGTGGAGGCCTTACTGAAACGGCCAATGTACTTCAGTAGGAAAATCTGAATCGTATCTAACACCCATAGAAATATGAACATAGGTCGCTCAGGCCCATCACAGAGATACACCATCATCCCCACATTGTGGTCCATGGGAGATTAAGATGTTATCAGTTTAACGTTATGACAGAACAAAGGGAACTCCTGTTTACTTTTAATGTCTTATTTTTTCTGGGACCAACGTTGTAGTGAGGTTGATGTGTGATTAGAGGCCAAAACGGCAACTATCAACATATATTTATGATGACAAGCTCTGGCCGGGTGACGACACACTTATGAAAAGAATGTCATCACTTGATCAGGTGCTAAATGGAGGAAACCTATGGTAAAACAGACTACTGGCTAACACTGAGAAGTTTCTATGAAATGAAGGACTGGAGCAGGGATGGACACAGAGAATAGTCCAAAAAATGTTTTTTTGGTTTAACACTGACACAGTGCATGTAGCAGCATCGGACTGATCCTTTTTAGCTTCATTTGTATATTAACATGACTTTATTCTCTTCAAATGTTGATATGAACAGATGGTTTCCTTTTCAAAAATATCGTGACCTGTTTTGTGTTTTTATTTTCACCATTAAAACAAACCTCAAAATCAAATAAATCAAGACTACAAATAATCTCTCAATACATGATAAACCTAATTTGACCTACGAGATATTTCCACAGTTATACACAGATAGGTTGGTTATGAGTTTCTGAAGCACGATCTGTAGTGTCTGCTCCCTTGTCTCTGATGTAGTTTTGTCCCCGAGTTTCACCCGTAGTGTTGAGCAGGTTTGTTTTGGAGTTTTTGCATTGATAGATTTATCAAAACAAGACTACTGTCATAATCTAAGAACACGTTTGGCCTTGTCACATTTACAACATGTGTGCTGTGTATTAGCTCACATTGTAAAATGATTATCAGCAGCACGATTATTAAAAGAACAAGGAGAAAACACTGAACTAAAAACGTGGCCTCAGTGAAGATAATAACAAACAAAAAAAGATTAATTATAAAATCCATGCCTGCTCAATAATTTTACTTAAAAAAATGGTAACCTACAATATCTGCCTGTTAGCCAAACCTTTTCTTTAAGGCTACTAAAGCTAGATTAAGGTTCATAAAACCACACTTCTTCTGTTTTGTTTTTTTCTTAAGTGGACACTGATGAGACTGGAATTTCAATTAAAATTTAAACAGATTGGCCAACATTCAAATGTCTAATGTTGGGCATATGTGGGAACTCGCATGTACTGTGTACATGATTGTTGTTGGTATGTTTTCTGAGCAACGTCACTCCAATGTGATTCATTTTCTGGTTAACGAACCAATGACTCATGAGATCACTGCACTGAGAAACTGTTACAGTAAAAGTTTTGTAATGTGTTAATTTATTCCCACAACACCATTTTGGTAGCATTGAGTGTGAGTGTGTGAGCGTGCATGTTGCTCATAATGGCAGTTAATTTGTGATCATTCGTTTTGTATATAGCTATGGCTGTAAATGACATCACTTTCTTATTATTTTTCTTTTTCATTCTGTGTCTTTTGTCCCTCACACACATAGAGTTATTTTAAAATTATTGACAGTGCACATTGGTTTTGTGATTTATATAAATATTCTTGTGCGAAAAATACTGTTGTTGTTGCGTGGTCACTACACACACACACATGATTTTGTTTCATTTGGTCCTAATACAACCAATAAGAATGACGCAGCTGTTTGCCAAGGAACAAAACAAAGTATAAGAAATAATCACCAATAAATCATAATTGATCTTTAATGTAACTACAAGTGATGGTGTCACAAAAAGCGTTCAATATTACCCTAGGACTCACAAGAAAAAAATATATACTTTTTTAGAAAGACCTGTTAAGAGAATACCTATTCCTAGAAGCTTAATGGAATTTTTGTAATTCTAATTCCAGACCATTTGTACACATTTAAATTGGACATTTGTCATTTTGTAGACATATAGGCTCTACCTTGCTAAAGTGCATACCATCAAATTGCTATCCTTTAAAAATACTTGGCACGTTGTGATGTGTAAAATAGTAGCAAATAGTAGTCAATATGTGCAGGGTGTTTGACAGTTGTTTCCCCTTTTTCTAATAAATACCTATTTTTATTTACTTTTGTGTTTATTGTCTTTGTTTATTTGTTTTATTACATTCAAAACTATTTGTATATTCAAATGGCATCTTTATAAAGTAAACCAATGTTTCCACAAATTTGGTTTTTGGTCTGATATTTCTTTTTGCTACATTATCAAAAAGAAATTTGCTCAAGTGTAACAACCCCTGGTTTTATTTCATTTATGTAAATTAAAAAAAATAATGAAATAAATCTTATCAGTTACGTACTAAATCTACTACCTATTAAGGTTTTTGTTGCTACTAAATCTAATATCTAAATATATTTCTTACGCCAGACTCTTTGTTGGTCTTTGCAGAATGTGTACTGCTTTAGCAGTGTGCTCTCCTGTAGGACAAGGTGAAAAGGTCCAATAACACAACACTGACATCTAGTGGTGAAACAGCATTTGGACGTATACGTCCGGTAACTTGACATAAAAAAGCACGTTGAACAAAAGAGGTAATCTAAGTTTTTGTATGGTTCAGATTCTTGGAATCCCTGTGATTTTGTTATCGCACAAATATCGCTCTTTTTTATGCTCAAGGACCTACCCCGCTCTTCTGTGCCTTTCAGCAACAGAGATGGAAATTGATTTCCAAACAGCAGCCATCACTGTTGGACCGCGCGTCAGGTGTGATTGATGACCAAAAGCGATGACACATGTGGGGGAAATTAACAGGGAGTCAGAATTTACATAATGTCCAATTAATCACTGTGACAGAGGAGGTGAGGGCGACCAGAGGAGGTCATGTCAGACTGGAGACGACTTGTTTATTTATTTTTATATAAATAAAAAAATAAAACCTGAGACTTATAAGGTGCTGTTCTTGTGAGTAAGGTCACACACAAATCCAATGTAAGCCTCTGTGTGTCACTTTCACATATATGTTGATCATCATAATATGCGCACTACATACCTACCGCTCTGTCTGCTTTTGCTAAAAGCTCCCTGCAACCGTCTAATCAAGAGCGTAATTTAAGTAAAACATCAGAGCAGTGGTTCTCTACTTTGCAAACAATTCCCTGCACTTTTGCAACCATCGATTTCTATTTCGTTATGAATACACGAACGGCAGTTTTAGCCACTGATGATTTGACTAATACAAACATTTACACACAGAGAATGTAGAACGTGGACAAAATGACAGAAATAACGTACCTGCGATCTTGTAATGTCTTCCAACTGTTCCTTATCGCAGATTGTCACAGGTTAAGTAGATTCAAGATTCAAGATTGATTCAAGATTGGGTTTATTTGTCATATGCACTTTCAACACATGGTCTACAATGCAATGAAATGCTTGGGATGGGGGGACCGTAGACTCGCTAGGGTAACATAGAACACACAGTGCTAGCAGCATGCGATACTACTACAGGGAATAAGGTAAGAAATAGAGGGAGAAAGGGGGAATAGAACAGTGCAGTGCAGGCAGTGCAGGAGTAGTGCGACACAAGATAAGGACATCTAAGTACAACACAGGTAAGAGCATTAACACACGGGGTAAGAACTTGTAGAAACACCGGGGCAAAACA